TGAAGCAAACTAATCAACACCTTTTTGTAGGAGCAAAGGAATGCCCAAAAAAGTTGCAGGTTTCATCTTATTAACAAAATAGTGCATTTATTAACACTCTCCCGAGGGTATGAAATCAGAAGATCCAGGAAAAGCTTGTGAGCCTAGCAGGTTGTCCTTCGGAGCTTCCAGAGTTGTGATAAGGCTACAAGCTCTTGCGTGGAACATAATCATTGTACATTTTCCTTAGCGAAGGTGAAGAAGTGGACCAAAACGCGGTCCTTCGTGGTGACTTAATTTTCAATTCATGGTCGTGCCTCCAAATTGTCGTCAAATTACGAGGGTGACACCTACAGTCTAGGCCGATGTCAGACTTTGCGAATCGCGCGATTCGCTAGCGTCCGCGGTCGCGTTGCGGTACCAGCCAATTGAGTGATTCACTGGCCGCGACGCGACCGCAGACGCTAGCGAATCGCGCGATTCGCAAAGTCTGACATCGGCCTAATCGTAAGTTGGAGTCATTTGGCGACCATTTGGAGGCACCAACATCAATTGCAAAAATTGTCATCGCGAAGGAACGAACATCGGACCACTTCTGCACCATTGTTCTGACGTTCAAGAAGCGATCAGGGAAATGAACAATTTTTATGCAGGCAGAAAACCACTCCGAAAAAGCGCTTCATGTCTGAAGACCGCCCTTGTTTGAGCTCTTTAGTAGCTGTCAGCTCGAAAGCCACTTACTAGAAGCGACAAAACAATTCTCGAAAGTGAAAATTCCATAAAACGAGATGGCCCTTCGAATGAATTTGAAAGAAAAGCTTACAACCCCGGATGAGTCGTGTAGGAGTATCTATTCAATGTGTGTATGGGGGAGGGAGGAAAGGGGGGAAAGGGTAGAGTAGCACACGAGTATCCTTTGTCCAATGTGCGAGACAATGGCGCTAGGGCCTTAAAAAGCGATCTGATGGCGATTAACGTGAACTTACGGACGAGATACCTCGCGCACATCCCATGACACACTACGCGTAGAGGGTAATTCAAATACGCGTGGGTAACTAGAGTTATGTAACTAGAGCTAGTTAGCAAACAAATTGGCAGAATTGAAAAGGCAAAAAACAGCCAACAAAACAAGGGGCAATATCCTCCTACCCTCAGGCCAGGGGAATAAAAAATCGCTTTAAATTTTCGTGCTCAACAAAAATTGCTCTGGGAAAGTGCATATTTGTGATGTATATATGTGTGTAAAAACAAGCATGTGCTGGAAGTAACTGGGTTTTAAGAAACAGATAAATTTAGAGGTCTCTCTTGTATCCCTAGCTGGAGGAAAGGATAGGATACGGCCCGGACAACTCGCCGAACACGCCCCTCCTTCATTCCAAGGGAAAAGAGAAGGAGCCTTCGTACAATTGCTTCGTCGATGGTTTTCTTTGCTTCTTTTTCATTTTCAGTCACCCGGCATCCACGATTTCATTATCGTGTGCTGGTACCCCACCAATTTGATCTGGGACTGGTGCTTTCAAAAATCAGCTAATGACAACCTGAAGGTAGAGCTCCGTTGCTTTGGACGCTCTTCTCGCGTTTTTTTTTTCAAACCTCACTTCTCAAATGATGTAATTCAACAATACCCCTCCAAAATGTGGTTTAATTTGTTTCTCCCAAAAGATGATTAGGACTCATAAGGTTTCAAGGTATTCAAAATCCCTTTCAGAAGTTCCTCTATTCTCTATTCAACGCAAGATTAGGAAGAAGAGCTTATTCCTGCGATATTTCGCAATGGGCACACCTAGACCTAGGTTATTACAAGAAGGAGGGGGGGGGGGGGTCGTAGTTTGTTGAAGTTTGTGGTGGTGAGGGGTCGTGGAAATAATATAGGTGAAAATGGGGGAAAATGAAGGGAAATATAGGGAAATTGGCTTTTCACAGTAGTTATATACCCCCCCCGCTCGACGGTGTTTTTGAGGGAAAAAGTGGCTGTGAAGAGGGGGTCGTATGAAACTTCTCGTGAAGGAGGGGGGGTCGTAAAAATTTTGCAAAAAGTATCAACGATAGGACCGACCCGACTAGAATTAATACGTAATGATTATGAAATCGTGAAATGTGTGAATTGCTGATAAGACCCGTTACTCCGTTGACTCCACTCTCACTATGGAATTTATGAGTGCGCAGATTAGTAAGATCGCTTAACTCCCCTAATCGATACGTATCCATTCCTAACAGTGGCTACCGCTCATTTCACAACGCTGCCACGATGAACGCCTAGGTAGATGTCAGACTCGGCGAATACGCAATCGTGACAGCGCGCCCAACGCAACAAATCAATAATGACGCGCCCCATTTGGCCACTGTGCACAACTCTGTCGCGCTTGTGCAACCGCCAAGTCTGACATCCACCCTAGATGTGAAGCGTCCAAAGGCAACCACCACGCGACCGCGCGCCCGGTTGCCTTTGCCTTTTCCAAAAGATTTCGATTTTGAACGTAACACAGTATCTAGAGGAAATCCAGCAGTAGTAAACCATTCACAATCTCTTCAAAACTTTATTAAAGGCAAATCGAATCATTTCGTTGGCAAAAGGACAAATAAATAAATAATTAGGTAATCTATGAATACACAGGCTAAAAACGCATATAGTCATACATGAGGAATCGCGTGAGAGAATGTTAGGCACATTGGGTGAAGTGACGAGATATGAATCGTCTCTAAAGTTTCGGCGATTCGATAATACAATCGTGGACAAATTCATGAAGAGGTCATTTTGGCCTCTGGCTAAAAATGGCCGTTACAAATGAGCTTCATCGAAAATGCTTAAGTTTGGAGCAAAAATGACAACATTATAGCACCGTCATTGAAAATTCACAGTCTATCACAACGCAGCTGATTAAGTAGGAAATATGACTACAACTAGAATAGGAAGTAGGAAAATGAAAATAGATTGAGAAACAAAAAGATGAAAAAAGAAGGAAAACAAAGCGTTAACTTCGAAAACATTGACAAATTCAGGGCTAGCGCAAGGGGTAAGAGCTACGATTGAAAATAGTAGATGAGATGAGATGGAGGTCTCAAATTCAGAAGGCCCCATCTCCTACCAGAAACAGTTTTAAGATAGCCAAACTGAGATCCATGAGAACTACCGCAGGTAGAAAAGACAATAGAAAACAATCGATGGATACTGTGCGCAAACTCCACCCAAAATGGGCGGTCCTGCACAACGTGATTCATCCGAAACTTTCCATTCGATTTCCTAACAACGGATAAGTACCTTGGATGTCACCCCTGTTAAATTACTGTTGGCAAAATAGAAAAAGTAACCCAGACAACTATACCATTTCTATGGCATAGACCGGACCAGTGAATAAAGTGAGACTTCAAGCAATTGAACAAAATTTCAAACATCACCTATGATACAAAAGACGGCATTGAATGAGGAAAACCCCTGGGTTGGGACCCACGTAAAAAAGACGAATGAAAAACGATGGGTTTACATCAATACGCACTTCTGCTTGTGCTTTTTCTTCTTCGCTTTGGTTCGATTCGGAGAAACTGCTGCGCTGTTCTGTTGAAACGTGAACTTTTGAGGAAAATGAAAAATTATAACAATTTTGATAGTTTTACCGCTTACCTCTTCTTCATCTTCGTCCGTCGGGAAGCTCTTACATATTCGGACCAATTCGTGAAAGGCAGCATCCACATTGACGGGAGGATCCTTTAAAAATAACGTTATTAGATGTCGGTCAGACTCTGCGATTGCATCGCGCGATGCAGTCGCTCTTGCAATGTGCACAAGCGACGGGCGATTGGCATCGCTCCAAAGTGCGAGCGACGGGAGATTTACCCGAGCGGCGCCGTGTGTATCGGTCGTCGGCGGGGTAAATCTCCCGTCGCTCGCACTTTGGAGCGATGCCAATCGCCCGTCGCTTGTGCACATTGCAATTGGAAGCAGGGTCGGTCCTATCGTTGCTACTTTTCGAAGTTTTTACGACCCGTATATACGCGGAGCGAGGGCAATTTGTCCTCCGCTCCGATCCACTCATCATGAACTTCTTACAAACAAGCAGTACGACCCTCTAACGGCATAAATCGACCCGTTGCTACTGTAGCACATAGGGTTGACCCTATGGGTGGAGTACATTCTTTATCACCAGTATTGCTATGCCGGGACAAAAGAGTGTGGAGAGAGTTGAATAAGAAAATGGGAATATGCGGTCGAAACTCAACCGGTAAGTCATTGCTTTTAAATGGGTTTTGGGGGGTGGGTGAGTCAACAAGGAAAAGCGTGTGATTAGAAAGGATGACAGACGCTGAAAAGTGAGACCAGTTGAGACCTCGGTCAGACTCGGCGATTGCGTCGCTGGACACCAGCGACGGAGCCGCCAGCGACGGAGCCGCCTGGCGACGGAGCCGCCAGCGACGGAGCCGCCGGCGACGGAGCCGCCGGCGACGGAGCCGCCGGCGACGGAGCCGCCGGCACAAGAGTGGCAGCAGCGGGCGATGACTCATCACGATCGATATCGGTTGGCAGAGGGGAGATTAATCATCCTCACCCATGGTTCAATTGTTGTGCTCGGTTTTTTTTTTCAAATGGTGTGATGATTATTCTTCCCCTGCCAACCGATATCTACCTTAACATTTTTAGGTGTTTGCTTTCTAGGAAACGCTCTATAATTGTTTGCTTGTTTGCTCTTATTACTGAGGCTTACCGTTGATCATGATTTCGTTCCTTGCACATAAAACATCTCACTGATCGCTTGTTTGTTTTTGGTCGCCGTTATATACTCCGTCGTCCGGGGGCGCCATCGAACTCCATCGCAGCGACTCATCCCGGCGATCCATCGCGGCGACTCATCGCCGGCGATCATCGGCGGCGACTCATTCGCCGGGACTCATCGCCGGGACTCATCGCGCGCGCCATCGGCCGGCGATCTGCGGACGACTCCATGCAGCGACTCCATCGCCGGCGACTCCATCGCCAGCGACTCCATCGCCGGCGACTCCATCGCCGGCGACTCCATCGCCGGCGACTCCATCGCCGCGACTCCGTCGCGGCGGCTCCGTCGCTGGTGTCCAGCGACGCAATCGCCGGGTCTGACCGAGGTCTAGCGAGGACCTGCGGAAGACTGATGTGAGACAAAGCAGCCTTGCAGAGTCAACCCTGCGTTGCGCAGTTTTCAACGGCCACGTTGCGCAGTTTCGCCCGATTAGACACGTTCTCTCGCGCGAACATTCACACTCGCATGCTCGAGCCGTCTGTGTCTCCGCCCATACAGCGTGCGTTGAGGATCTCTCAACGTGCCGTTGCGAACTGCGCAACGCAGGGTTGACTCTGGCTCAGGAACAGTCAAGATGAGAATTCCTGGCGCCTTTGTCGAGCACTTTCGACTTCCGAAGTGGAATTTTTTGGGTTGGTAGGAGTGAGATAAGATTACTAGAGAATTCACCTCCGCTTAGGAGTTCGCAATATTTTAACACGTTGACGACATCGCGCGTTTTGGGTTTTTGCACCGCGTGGGACCAGAGCGATTTTGCGAGCGCCGCCGCCGCACACCAAATCCATGGATTTTGAGCTGTAAATACGCAATACTTAGATGCGATGAATGTTTTCAATGATGTTCGATCTGTCTAACTTATCGGGAGTTACAGTAATGGAAGTTCGACCGAAATAACGTGTTAAGGCCATGAAAAGGCAAATTTTATTCACTTTCCCTTTAATGGTTAGTTAAAATTTGATTAATTAATTTGACGTGGTTGTTTCGGTAAAAACACATATCTTGCCACACGAGTAGCTTTGTACTCACTTCTAATATTCTTTTTTATCTACATGTTCGCGTTAATGAAGAGAAAATGAGGAATGAACTGAACGGATATTTTCGTCAGGTCCGGAAAACCTCTGCCAAACTTAAGAAAATAATTGGTCATTCTGTAAGCCACGTGGTTCTTGGTTATGTTGATGTATGACCTATAAAATGAACACAAAAAACCGAAGAAATCGAGCATGTGCGCAAAAAATAAATGTAACTGGTGTGGCATACATAGTTGCCACAATGTCCATGAGGTGCAAAAATGGCGGCATACATAGTTGCCGCGCTGTCGTCAAGGTGTTAAGAATATCAGCAGACGTTATAGAACCGATGAAGTATAGTTATAGAACTGATGAAGCTTTTATAGATAAGCGGAACAAACCAAAAAACTCACCTTAGCAGATGTTTCAATGTATGGCAGCTTGAGACTAGCGGCGAGACTACGACCTTCGGCTTCGCTTACAACTCGTTGATTTGTCAGATCAATCTAAAAACAACAAATTGGAATGATAACAACTGATTCACATCTAATGGCCACACCAACTGAATGAACGCTCTCGTCTTGAAAGCACCCCAAATGTTCGTATAGAGTTCCCATATTAAGAAACCATACTCAAAAACTCAACTTTCCTCCCAAAATAGTACCACAGAAAGCTACGAATGGGGCCCTTCAACTAAGAGACTGGTTTTAGAAAACAATCTCCCGTATAAACATAAACGATAACTGAAAGCACAACTGAACTGGCAGGGGTTGTGTGCTTAAGAAAGAAACAGAACTGAATCACCAAGTACGAAAAAGAGCAAAAAAACGATGGGAACCCTTGAAACCGCATAGCGAAGGCGATTTTATACCACATGGAAGACTTACCAGCGAGACTCCATGGAGCCCTATGGAAGTATCGCTGGTAAGTCTTTCTATAATGCCATGAGATGCGATCAAAAAGGCGCCAACCAATGGGACTATAGTGGGGGCGGAGAGCAAACTCCGCCCATCAGCGCGCTATGTAGTTTTGAGGATTCTATGCTGAATCGCCACAACTTCCTTTACTTTTTGGACACCTCCTAAACCTTATAATGGTGGAATAAGGTTTCACATGAGAAGCGTACCAAAAAACTTCAAAAAAAATCATCAGGGCAGTTTATAGATCAACATATAAATGATAGGGTACCGTTAAGACATCGTGACCCTACCGTATCTATCACCGATATTTGAAAAACCAGGAAATACAATTTCAAATCAAATAACCAGGAACATGGTGCATACCTTATTAGCTACCAGCAATACAGGGTACTCAGTACAGTCCTTCACACGTAGCACCTGTCTGTATAATTTCGCTGCTTCATCGAAGCTTTTCCTCTCGGTTACCGAATAGACCAGAAGAAATCCGCGTCCATTCCTCATGTACTGTTCCCGCATGGCAGAAAACTCCTCCTGTCCGGCAGTGTCCAACACTACAAAATACAAGAATACCTACAGTGAAGTATACTACTACATAATATTATGTTGAATCACATTAATTAAAAGCTCACCATCCATAATTACCCAGTGACCGTCCACTTCACAATGTTGAATATACTGGTCCTCAATCGTTGGGTCATAGTAGTCCAAGAACTGTTTCTGAAAATCGGCTTCTGAAGAATATCCTCAAAATTCTCCGTACACTCAAGAGTTCGTGTCTACTGTAGGTATTCGGGTGTAAAACAAGGGTTCACCGAGCGAATTCACTCTTACTTGCAGATCAAATTCGCGCGACGTCGCGCGGTGACCTCGTGCTACACATCCATCACCCTCAAGCTCTTAAGAAGGCGTAAAGCTAGCAAGCCACTCAAGCAAAAGTCTGAGTTATCAACCATGAGAAAAACAAATCGTTGAACTAAGAGAATCGTTCACAGAATGCCTTTCGAGATCATGAATATCTGAAGCCCTGTCTTTCCTCAATAGCCTCGAAGAAAATTTGTTCGTCCACAGCAGCTGCTCTACTTTTCGGATCAGCCAAAGTCCTGAGTTAGTCACGGCCGCACCCTTACAACGATTTGTTTTTGCGACGCCAATTAAAGCAACAGTCCCAGCAGGATGGGCGTGGTCGGAAAAGACTGCAATCAGGGTCAACCCTACGTTGTTACTCATAACAACGGGGGGGGGGTCGTACCTGGTTGAGTTTGTAGGAGGGGGGTCGTATAGGTTGGGAATTGGGAGCGCGCGGGAGAAAAATTCGCCGTTTCACCGTATGTTTAAATACCCCTAAGAAGAATGAAGGCAGTTGGAAGATAGGTAAAATTGGGTAAAAGTAGGGGTGAAATGGTGGGAAAAAAGGAAATTATAGGAAATGTTCGAGAATTTTTATGGTTCGAGAGTAACCATAAACCCCCCGCTCGACGGATTTTGGAGGAAAAAGTGGGCGGAGTCGGTGAGTTCAGTGGTATCAGAATTAAATATGACGATGAGACGATGATGGTGATCGAGATCGTAAAGGGGGTCGTAAAAAATTTTCAACAGTAACAACGACAGGACGCCGAACAAATGACTGCAATCCCCTCGGCCGATTCCCACTTCGGAGCTGTTCAGCCCCTAGTCAAGAACGTAAGAAGTGTGACTGAACAAAAACTCACCTTGGAAAGCCGCTAGGCAGGGAGCTGAAGTGGGCGTGGTCGGAATCGGCCGAGGGATTGCAGTCGTTTCCGACCACGCCCACCCTGCTGGGACTGTTGCTTTAAAGCATTCAGTTCTCATTCGAAAGGCGCCTTATTCGGCCTTTTTCTCTCCTTCCTTTTCTAATAACTGGAACCCACAACAACTCAAACGTAAATTTTACAAACAAACCCCCCTATCTTGTTCCACTGAATGAAGAGATTATATCGCCTGAAAGGAGGTGGTACCATTGGCAAGAGGCTCCATTTCCCACTCGCGCGGTCCGAGATCTCGGGTCGGGGTCACTCGCGACGATCAAGGCCTTCCATCTCGAAGTTGACTAATGGCAATGACTCATCGGGGAGAAAGAAAGCATTCGTTGTAGTCGGCTGGCCCCCAGGTCACTGTTGGGCCATTACCATAGCATGACTACGACTTTAGGTGAAAGTGAATGCGTGGTGCATCCCAAAACGGGTTTATCAATGCCGAGAACTTTATTACTTGGCGTTTATCAATCCCATCCTCACTTCCATGCACAATCGTAGAGGATTGTGAATAGAACTCTGGCCCTTACTTGCGATGAGCAGCACCTGTACCAGACAATGCTTTGTGTCTCCCTGCGCGTTTTCGGCACCCTTGACCATTTAATCTGAAGCCGCGATGGAAAGCTTGGTTGGTGTGCGCGAGACTGGATCGGAGGTTTGAAATCCACACGCACCTGTAGCAGGTGCCACTTTCGCTGCCTCGCTGTTGTCTCTACGCTGATACAATATCAATAGCGGCACACACAGTAAACTATTTTTCAAACCCCTAAAAAATCTCCAAGAAACAAAGTTCACAGTTACCTCCACTTTGGGATGCACCACGCATTCTACCTCCACTCGGAATCATAGTGGTCTTGAATGCAATATGGGCTAGGAAACGGTTTGAAGTACAAGTCGATGAATGCATTTTCAGTTTTTGTGGATAACGTTGTTACCCAAACAGCCATTTCTGTGTAATAGGAGGCTCGGTTGACCTGAGCGGGATTCCGCTAGGAATCGACTTCCGGACAATGCTAGTGGTCTGCCGTGCCACTAGCCGCTGCACCACCTTCGCCCCAGTATCTTTACCATTGGCTGTTATTACTCTAACTTTGCTCAACTCTGCATAGTTATGTTCGAAATACTTTTTTAGAATAAATAATAAGGATAAAGCATTTGCCGTTGATCAATCCCTTTTTGGGATGCGGCACGCATTCTACTTCCATTTGTACATTCGTAGTGGCGTTTGAATGCGATGTGGCCTATACAATGACTTGCGGGGGCCAGCCGATGTTCAAGTCAGTGTTTTTATCCTCCCAGACAAGTCTGGTACCAATTAACCGACCCCGGAGGGATGGAAGGCTTGGTTGGCCCGGGCGACTCACGACCCAGGATTTGATCCCGGACCGCTCGCGTGGTGAGCGCGCCACTTGTCACTACACCACTTCCGCCCTTTTTCCTTTTTTCAGGTAGAACGAGTTTAAAGGAAGGATCGTGGAAGTGGCAAAAAGTCGTCCTGTGAGTGATGCTTATTTCCAATTCAAATTTACGTATCAATTGGAGGAGGGGAGGTCACGTGACTCGTGTCCAGATAGGACAAGAAAAAGTACTGGGCCATGCAAGAAAAAAGAATTGCATACGCTCAGCGCCTGTACCAAGTTCCGCCAGCGCCGTATTCCCGACACCCACGGACAGTACGGGGTTACGGACTACTTGATTTCTTCACACTGGCCTGCCGCGATGGCCTCCAGGCACAGACGAGTAGCGAAACCCATTGAAATTGTCTAGGCACTAAGCTTTGAGAGGAGAGGACGTGCCCGCCCTGCGGGAGAGGAGGTTTAAAGGGTTGAGTTCAAGTAGTCCGTCGACCGACAGTACGATGCAAACGCAGCAGTGCACGCAGCGCGCAGCTGACCCGCTCGCCCCCCCATTTTTTTGGGGCCCCCCGGGCCGCCAAAAATTGACATGAGCGACGTGATGATGTCGCGTGGTGACCTATGCTACACACCTTTTGCTCTAGGATGTATTCAGCCCTAATTTCAAATAAATAAAAAAACATCTGAAAGGATTGAAGACTCACTTGAAAGAACTGAATCGTGAGCGAACTTTTGCCAACTCCTCCATCTCCTATGACAACTAATCGATAGGTGGGCAACTTCGAGTCGTCCTCTGGTGGTCGTTTGCTAGACGCCATTTAGTAGCTGGTTGTTGTTGGTCGTTTTCAACAAAGCACTTCGCTGTCGCTGGGAATCGAACAAGACCACCACCGTCGTTGTCGCCAGCGTCGTACACCGCCTCACCTGTTCAATTAGCCCTTTTAGCCAGCTACACACTGCGAGAAAAAATCAAGGAACACACAACACGGTGAAATATGAAGCGACAAAACGCGATGGCATCACAACGAGCGCTCAACACCTCGGGGTATGATCTTTAATCCGTGCATATCGATCGACTAGATGGATCAGAGATTGCAAATTGAAATTGCATCCTTTAATTAGTTAGTAGTTAGGCACTAAATTGGAAGAAAAAATGCTAATTCAAATAGAAATAGTCATGGAATGTTAGAAGATAACCTGATAAAAGTTAAGTGAAATGTAATGAAATTAAGTAGATGAAAATAAGGCACGAAACAAAAAAAACAAAACTTGAAAATGGAAAACATTTTTGAGCACGGAAAATTCTATTGTGACTACAAGTAGGCCTCCAGATGTCATGATTAGACATTGAGTTAGATGTTCAGTTGAGCAAAAATCATTGGGCAGCCTTCTGAGACAAGAAATCCAACCATGGAGTAGACGATGAACTTCACCGGTAAATCCATATCATATGGTATAGCGTCTGCAGGCACTTCCTGGAAAAGGTTCTATTCAGTTCCTCCGCGTACTTTAAAATTGCACACAGAGATTTGCTTACTTCTTCTTTGAGAGCAATCCCCCCACCAGGGTCGGTCCTATCGTTGTTACTTTTTGAAAAATTTTTACGACCCCCCTCCCCCAAGGTGGATTTACGACCCCCTTTTCCACACCTCGACCACCATATTCCTCTCTATAGTATTTAATTCTGGTACCACTCAACCCACCAAACTCCGCCCACTTTTTCCTCCAAAAATGCCGTCGAGCGGGGGGTATATACGCGCGCTGAAACGGCGAATTTTTCTCCCGCGCGCTCCCAACCTATACGACCCCCCTCCCCTCCTACAAACTCAACCAGGTACGACCCCCCGTTGTTACTAGTAACAACGTAGGGTTGACCCTGCCCCCCCCCCTCGTGCCCTACCCGACTTACATCGAAAGATTAAATCGTCTAACGCTGGACCCGTTCGCGCCTGATCGCGCAAGCCCACCCATCAAGGGATCGACTGCGTCAGGAACGAAACAGATTAGGGGGTGAGCATGTATCAATTGTAACTCTGGGAGACATGGAAGAGGAATTTTTCGGGAAGTGGGCAAAATTTCTGCTATTTCCTTCCCTATCCTTCCCTCCCTCCCCCCGCCTCCCACTTCCACTCACTCCTCTCCGTTCAACGAAGTGAATTGCATGGAAGTGTGTAAAGTCACCTTCTCCCTAGCTTGAGGCAGTTTTACGATGAAAAGGTAGCTCATTGGAAATAAGGGTAGAGGTGGTCAGTGGAGCAGGGATGAAGAAGAAACCATTTGAAACGGCCCGAAACCCGAGAAATGGACCCCTTCCTTGCCCGTTGATTTGCGCATTGATGCGACTCTCATCGCTGTGCTCTCTTCAACACTACGCTCTCTCTGCTACCTATCACTCCCACTCCTGCTATCTATCCTCATCACTCGTCAGCGACGAGAATTGCGGAAGTCGAATTAGATATTCAGTGGGCGTTCCGAGCCCCAACTGCGCCAAAGAGAAGACCATGTCAGATCGCCGGGGTCATATCCTTCGATGCGAATTGTGTGTTGGCCCGAGCCCTTATGGGGTCCATATGTCTCTCTACTAGACCTGTCGAGTTCTCCTTCTACGACTTTCATTCTTATCGCGGATCTTCCTCCTTTAAGTCCCGCACACTAGCATGGTCCGCTCTTTATTAGTTGCGCCACTTTGTTCTATCAGCAGGGCACCTTTTGCCGTGGCTTCACGTAGGCCCTTCTTGATAACGTCTCTTTAACTCTTTGCGTTTGGCTCCCTGCAGGCTGGCCTGGCTTAGTTCAATTCGCTTCCTTATCTTGTGTTACTCGTTGCTCCTCAGTACGTATCAAACTGTCAGCAGGCATTGTCCCCTGCAATCTCCAGTTGACAGGGGACAGGCAACTGCATTATTAGCACATTTAAGAATGGAATGGAAGTGTATGAAGTATGTAGTGCTTAACCCATTGCAGACCGCCGTTATGTGTGCACCTCCTTTAGCATTTTCGGCCTGTTTTATCACTAAGCAATAATACAGCAGTAAATTTACATATTCTAACAAATGAGCATTTTCATGCTCGGAAAAACCTGCTGATAAATTTGCTACTTAGAACAAATCAAACACACTGATTCAAGGGTCCACAAAGGGTCACGGACCCTGACCAAACCGTAAAAGCTCCAAAGATAAGGGGTGGTGGAAGGGGAGAAGAGGAGGCTTCTTAATTTAAAAAATTCAAACCCCTCGGAAAATTCTTGAAAGAACGCAGCGGGATTCCGCACGTCCACTTCCACAGTACGTCTCTTTTGGAAACAGATAATCGAATTCTAAGCGCAATGCAAACAATCGCGTGAATTACATTTGATACAGGAAGATTATGCAACAAGCAGCTAACTGCAACTTGGCAGCCCATAATCGTTTGAATCTCATAACGATGTCGTGTATCCTAGTCGGCTGCAAATATACCCAGTATCAACGGCAATTTCTGTAGTAGCAGTAGTATTGTAGTGTCCAGTCACGGGTGTTATAGTCCTTTCACAGCAATTTGCAATCCGCTTTAAAACAAGCCGCGACCAGCTCAAAAGATTACCACCACACTAAAAAGTACATGCTTAGCGATCATAGCAGTTAAACTTCGAACTGAGGAATATCGCCAAGAAGATGCTTACCCAGGAGGAATCTGAAGAAATACAAATAGATCGGAGCACTGGGATGCTGCTCTGCCAAGCTTATCGACGGCATGTCACCTCCAAGATGAAAAATTCGCCCACACCATATCGCTCCCGTACCCGATAGTACACAGACTAGCTGAAAATTGGGATGGTTAATAAGTTTAGAAATATCAAAAGAAGGATCATCCCCATCCGAGTGCGCCACGCACTCAATTTCAACAAAAATCGCAGGATTTTTGGATGTTTACATGAACTAGTTTTGGGAGGGACCGCTGATAATGGGGCCCATATTTTCTCCTCTCAGGCAACATACTATGAGTGAATGTTCAGAGAAATAGCGAGTATTGATTGATCCCATGGAAAATCGATCCATAAATGGACGGCGCAGTAGCGACGCCTCTTTCCAGTACACCACCACCGTGCAAAAGCAACAAATACTAACTCAGGCGGAATTCAATTCAGACGATTGAATAAATCCCAAAAAATACAAATCGAATGGAATTTGAAACGAAAACTAATTGGTAGAGGATTTCTTGAGGAAGAGACGTAGGGCGAGATCTGAAGAGGCGAGATCGCCGGATTAGCTATATGCTAATTCGAAGCGCCTTAAACGTCCGTCCGACGAGGGCCATTCGGCAGATGAGCGGGAACAAAGAACAAAGAAATCATTCGAGAAAGAAGCAAAAATTCACGTACTTCCGCATAACTCTGCGTCTCTGGCCATGCTCTTGGATGGATCCACAGAAGTAGAAGAACAAAGGTGTAGAAATAGACGAAGAATGAAAGGTCATCACGGGAACTCGCCTCATACGCATCATAAAGCTTATCAGAGAACCCTCCTGCAAATGGGAATGACCTTTTATTCGTTGAGGCAAAAAATCGCAACGCTGACTGTCGACGACGGGCTATTGCTCAAACCCCTCGCCGACCAGCCTTTCTGTACTTCGAGCGAGGTCAACCGTCGCGTTCGCTTTTTTTTCAAAAAATTTAGGACCCCTACTCCCCCAGGGTCTCGATATGACGTTCTTACCACCGAGCTAGCAGGATCAAACTCAAATATAAGCCCCTCCCGAATCACTTATACGACCCCAGCAGGTTCAAGTAGCTCCAAACGACTCCCCCCCCCCTTCTTCCAGGTTCAATCAGTTCTAACCGACGGTTGGACCCTGACTTCAAGGACAAAAATCTATAGGAAAAACGAACGATATCACGTACCGTATATGAAAAGCAGCAGGACGCCGATGGTCCATCCGGCAAGCACATCACATGGCGAATGAACACCCAAATAGACACGAGACCAACTCACACCGCAATTCCCTGAAGGCAACTGAATGTGCTATGTGTATGCACTTGGCTATAATTCGCTATGCAATTTTCTCGCGATTAGCAAAAAATGCCACAAGGGATGCCTGCCTTTTCGATCATCATCACCTTGGGGTAATAAGCCATGAAAATGAGCAAAAATTTCGAAAAGGAAAAGAACGTCAATTTAGCTGCTATGAAAACAACAAAGTTCAACTCGAATGGTTACAGTATGCATCAGTGCTCTGCAAGTGTTACTTTGTCAAAAATCAATATCTGCGTTGTGAGCAAACATATACACGATATTCTCTAACCCGACCGCAGCGCATCCGCACGCTTGATTTCAGCATGAAGCGGCTGCGGCAGATTTCTTCGAAGCAAAAATTGAGAAGCTTATATGACTGAAGACATTATCAAGACACGTACGTATTGCCATCATCGAACTGTTCATGATTTTCTATAGAAGTAGATTTCCAACAGAATCTTTTGAGTATCTTGGCCCTATAGTACACTAAGTAGCGGCATACGGCACCGCTCAGCGCGTGTATGGTGATGGACAAATCCCGAATCCCGCGCCAAAGACCGTTCCATCTTACCAGACAATGTCGAAGCTTCCTTCCCTTATTTTTCCATAAAAAAATTAAATATCACATATTTAAATGTATAACTGGAATATTCGCAAGCTGTCAATCATTTAAATTTTCGCTTATGTTCAAGAGCAGCTTTTAGCAGAGCGGTATTGAAGCGACATTGCTTTGATCGAATGAAATAGTAAGCAAAACGAGAGGTTCCATGGAATCCGTTGCTATGTTACTGACTGCTTAGCAAAACACGCAATCCCCAAAATGAATTTTGGCCACGCCCCCATTCGAAGAGGTCCATTTTCAATGGAACATTTTGTAGAAACTGAATTTCGGCAAAGGAGACTCTGCACACACTAATAGAAATACTGTCACAAATTGGTATGTAAGAAAAGCCCCATTACCATGAATGGCACTCGAGATGGGCAAACCCACTGATCCGTGACTGAAATTTCGTTGCACTCATACAGATGCAATTATTTCAGATAGTCTTTTTGTATCTCTCCATCCTATCGCCCATCCAATGGCAAGACAGCTACCATCTGCTAGCGTCTGTTCTTTTTTCTCTAAAGATTTCCAAAGACTGTCCTATCGCACTAATCGCGCAGCTCACTGCTTGCCCGCAGAAACCGCCTTCAATCAAGTCCGAACATCCTCTGATTGCTCAAAAAATAACTAAGGGAAAAAAAGGCCGATCTAGAGTGAGAGTAAACAGTGAGCTTTGAAAACAATGTTCTGAGCTGAGCAAGCTCAACAAATCAGCTTCTAACCGTCATGGAAGGTCCGGGCTAACAAATGTGAGATGATATGAGATGTGTGATGCTTACCAAATGCAGAATCACCAGGTCTTATCTTGGACCGAAACCTAAGCCCAACCAGCTCTATACTCCTCAGGAATTGATTAATCAGCTAAAAAGCGTCTGAAATGATAAAACCACCAAACTTCACACTGACGTATCTCAAAAAGTCATTGCGTAGGCCAAATCGCAAGCAAATGCCGCCACAATACCCATTCTAAGTTTTCGAAAAAAAAACGAGGGCCCGAATTCGTTTCCGGGTGTGGTTCATTAGGACAGAAAGCGACTTTTTTGCGTTTCGCGCGCGAAACATTTTTCGCTGCAGGAACTCCAGGTCCACTCATGATCAGCGGTGGACCTGAGGTTCCTGCAGCGAAAAATGTTTCGCGCTGCGAAACGCGAAAAGTCGCTTTCTGTCCTAGTAAGTAACATCCTTCGTTTCCTTTTGAACAACTGGATAGGTATTATACGATTCTGAGAGGAAATACAATGCATGGCGCATCCTCAGAGGAGGCTGATCTAGGCCAATTACTAAATGTTCTATCCTTTTTGGTAATCATGCGCTGTGATCGGAGTTAGGGGTTCCTTCATTGCTTCGTTTCCTGGCTCCCCACATTCCTTATCTCGAACTCACTATTTTTAGAAATTGTGCCGATAAAAGGAAGGCCTTAGAAAGGCGATAAAGATAAAAACGAAAACATGATAAAAACGTAGAAAGTACTTTAGCTACCCTTTGCAGCGTCCGCAAAACACGCGTGTAACGCACACTACTCGCCCACAGCGTAACACAACACTTCAATATTTACGACAATACACATTCCAACTTCTTCAAAGCCCTTTGCAATTTATGATCTCGCCTAGAAGCCAATAAACACCCCTCGATACGAGTTTCACTTCATCCGCTTAATCGGGAAGTAACGGGAAATTGCTCTGGAAAATTAGTCAGTCAAGTCTGATATCAAACCGATGGAGCGACTCTAACAACAGAGCTTTTACAACCACTACACCCTACAAGCCTGTATTGCTAAGGTTTATAAGTACGATATGTTATGGTCACTGACGGGTTCACTTTTGATGTAGAGAAGATGCTTTTCACGGGAGAAACTGGTTTCAAATGGACCTTATTGCCGGCAGAGATAGACGATATTTATCAAACTTTTCTTGTGCAGATCGACGATGGGGGGGCGGGGGTCGCGATTTGGAAAGTTTTGAAGGGGGCCACATTTATAGCTTTGTACTGTGATTTTGTGATCGTAGTAGGAGTGATCGTATTGGAGACTTTCAGAAGAAGTCGTGGTATAAAAGGATAAAGCATTTGCCGTTGATCAATCCCTTTTTGGGATGCGGCACGCATTCTACTTCCATTTGTACATTCGTAGTGGCATTTGAATGCGATGTGGCCTATACAATGACTTGCGGGGGCCAGATGATGGACAAGTCAGTGTTGGCCTGGGCGAATCAACGACCGGATTATCCCCGACCTCGCATGGTAAGCGTGCCATTTGCCACTACACCACTTCCGCTCAAGTCGTGGTAAATATCAGTCATATATGCCAACCATCCTAGGTGGAAAATTTGAGGGGGAATCATGGCAGAGTTGAAGTGGGTCATTTTGCCAGATCAAGACGAGGAAAAAATACTATAAAAAAGGGTACTATAAAAAGGGAGATATGATGGTGAAAGTGTCGTATGAAAACCCCTCCAAGGATGGTGATGATGAGGGGCTCTTGTTGAGACTCCCTATAGAAGAGGTCGTTAATTTTTTTTGAATCGGCACAAGAGCCTTGATAGAAGACCTGGTTGGTCTCATTGTGTTTTAATTCACCAAGGACAACGTTGCCTTCGCTTTGTCAACTGAACTCCTTTCTTTACTGTCTTTAGTGACAGCAAAATCGTGAATAAAGTGAATCCGAACCAATCAATATAATGTTAGGGTGTTGATCAAGACGCCTTCGACAAAAATATCACTATAAGAACGGGGTCTTTTTTCCAATGGGGGGAATCTTTTTGGCGCCCAAAAATCTACAGAAGATAGATTTTCTTTCGAGGAATTATTGGGACTTCCATAGAGGATCATTCGGTCCGCGTGTGTTTTTTATGATCCCATATTATGTGCCTATGCATACACTAAAAATCCCGAGAGGTCGGAATCAAGAGCTCATAGAATTCCTTCAAAATGAGCAAATAGACTTATGTGAGCGGAAAAAGCCAAAAACGCTTGGTACACTTTTCTACGAGGCTGTGAGCAAAGGAATAGTGCAAAACAGGCAGGTAATGAATCACAGCTTTACCATACAAGATCGGGAATAATATAACCAATAAGAGAAGATCGGAGGAATGAATCGAGAAAAGTAAGAAATAACTCCAGAAATGATACAGCCTGGTTGACACTGGGATATCTTTTTTTCACTGAGATACCCATAGAATTTGTAGAAACTGTGCCCCTACGCCCTTATTTTCGCTCATTTTGAAAAAGTTCTCTCCCACCTCCTCCACATTTCATCCCACAACTACATCAGCAAAACTGCCGAGATATCACCTCTCACTTCTGCCCATATAACACTAAACTGCAGTCATTTTTTCACTGGAAGCGTGCAGGGCACGGCATTTGCACGCTTCCGCTAAAAGCAAAAAGCCCGACACCCTCAATCAACACTCGTTTTTACTTTGCTGAGCGAGAAAAAATGACGCTTAAACTCCATCTATTATTGCACTCAACCCTCAACTCAATGCTTTAATCCCATCAATAAAGTCTGATCCCGATTAACATACTCTAAACCGCATGCCATACGTGTGTAACACGGCCACACGAAAAGAAAGCATTTTATTGGACTTATCCGGAATTCAATGCTTTTGTAAAAATATTTTTTAATTCCAATTTTACTTTTTATTCTATTATTTGGTTTCGATTAGCTTTTTTATAGTTGCCATCATTTGTTTTCGATTTTAGGAAACAAGTTATTATACTGACGAGTTGTTGATCAATGATTGAAAAATCATTGATAGAAAAACAATAACGCTGTGTATTGAGCAGGCATGCACTTTCGCACGGTTTGCAATAGGTTACTGACGGAGATGGAAACGAATGCATACCGACCGCCTAGTTAGCGAAATTCAACAAAGGAGGAAACGGCTGTTTCTCAAAATGTGTACCGTAAGTTTGTATTTTCGAGAATTTTTTATTGGAAACTGATGATTCGGAATGCTTCGAAACAAATAATTAGAGGAAGTTGGAAAATCTCAATGCTGCTTGGCAGCAGTTATGGCAGTACTCATCCCTTCTAATGGACTTTCACAAATGGACTGTGAAATTAGAAGTGCTCAGGACCAAAGAGGAACTGCTACATAGAGCAGAGACCAAGGAGGGTTGAGGTGGGGGAGAATGTCATGAGAAGAGAAGGAGTCCTGTTAAAATTCAGGTTTTTTGCCAATGTAAGAGTTGACCATAAATGGCTTGATGGAAGGCTTGCATTAACACAGAAACACTCCTTGAGCTTCTGAATTGCCAAATATGAGATAAAATGGCAACAGGGGTTAGCAGGCTGTTTCTGAAATGAGTAATGAAAGATAGGTAGAGAAAATTACGGAAAGAAGGAAGAAGGTTCCGCATGAGATCTTAGTTACAAATGACAAAAGCAACGCTGATTTAGGATTCCATTTCCCAACGGAAGAAACTGAGAGGGGGGGGGGGGAAGTCGATGGGTCAGGGACTTGGCCTGACCCACGCGTTGCGAAGCTGACAACCGACCACAAATTCGATTTGCTCATT